GGGAGGACGCCATATGGCGTACACCCAGAACGCTGATGACATTTGCCGGCCGCCATTCAGCCATAGGGCGGGCGGCAAATGGTTAAGCTTCATTTTTCAGGCTCCATTTACACGGGACGTTTGGAAAACTCTTCTGAACGATGGAAACTGACTGCTGGAAAACGTAGGTTAAAAAAAGTCTGTCTAGCCACGTTTGCATAACGCGTTTATGTGCGTTTGCAAGCATTTTTAAAGATAACATCAGGAGAACCTCCCAAAATGCAAAGAATGCACTGAAAAACTGTAAAAAATGAACTATTTCAGACATTTTGAGAGAAATAGAGAGAGCAGAAGCAGAGAGTACAGTATGTGTTGAGATTAGCTGTCATTTTTTTTGTGGTGTTTGGATGTGTTCCGGCTCATTTCTATGCAGAAATGATTGCAGCAGTGTCTAACATATTTTCTTTCATGTGAAACCTCAAAGTAGTAGCGGGGGAAAACGCTTTGCATGCATTTTTCATATAATGAAAAAAGGCTCTGGACAGCATCTGGAAATGGAAGAGTTAAAAAAAAATTCCAAACGCTTATAAACGCGGTTAGCCGCGCTTACACACGTTTGAAACTCTGATAAAATCTACTCCTGAACGCAAGTTTGGTGCGTTCAAAAACGAGTGTAAACTCAACTGCCTGTAAATGACGGTGTACATGGACACATAGGAGAACATTAGGGAGAGTTCAGGGGCTGCTGAAAAAAAAAAAAAAACGCTGAACAGATCCTAAACGTCAGTTTATCAGCTGCAGTGTACATGGAGCCTTACTCTTGGGTTTCAGAACACTTCGTTCACATCCGTGTGTATCCCAGCAGCAAAAGTCTGTCTTCTACAGCAGGGAAACTGCAGCACACGCAATGCTATCATACCAATAAATCACATCCCATTCATATATTTGCACCAGGGGCGGACTGACAACTCATGGGGCCCCCCGGGCAATAGGGGGATCATGGGGCCCCTGTGTCCTTGCCCACACTCAAAAAAGCCTATAAAAAAAGGGCATTTTATGGGGCCCCCTAGTGACCCCGGGCCCTCGGGCAGTGCCCGAGTGACTGGTCAGTCCGCCCCTGCTTTGCAGTAGAATGGGTTACAGAAGAACACAAACTGCATTAACCTGCAATCTTGCATTATGGAAGTAAAAAGAATTTGATGATTCCAGAACAGCACTCTGCTACCACCTGCTGTACAGAAATCAGTATGCAGTCTGAAATATTAGCACATCACTTCTATACAGAGTCAACCATCCAGGAGATTCATAAATACACACAAATACCCTTAATAATCTATATTTGCCTGAAAACATTTTAGGGAAGAGATTAACCACTTGCCCTAAAGAGGATTTGCCCCCCTTCTTGACCAGGCCATTTTTTTGCGATTTGGTGCTACGTTACTTTAACTGACAATTGCGCGGTCATGCAATACTGTACGTAAATTAATTTTATGTCATTTTTTCCCCACAAACAGAGCTTTCTTTCGGTGGTATTTGATCACCTCTTCTGTTTTTATTTTTTTGCGCTATAAACAAAAAAAAGACCAAGAATTTTGAAAAAAAAAAAAATATTTTTGACTTTTTGCTACAAAACATATCCAGCAAAAAAAAAATTAAAAATCAAATTTCGTAATAAATTTAGGCCAAAATGTATTCTGCGACATGTCTTTGCTAAAAAAAAAAATCTCAATACATGTAAATTAATTGGTTTATGTGAAAGTTATAGCTTCTACAAATGGCGGTATATACAGTGGGGCAAAAAAGTATCAGCTTTCAGCGCTGCCGCACTTTGATTGACAATTGCGCGGTCATGCAACATTGTACCCATATGAAATTTTGATCATTTTTTTCTCACAAATAGAGCTTTCTTTTGGTGGTATTTAATCGCCACTGGGCGCTTTACTTTTTGGCGGCAAAAAAAGTGCAAAAAATTTGAAAAAAAAAAAAATTATTTGTATCTTTTATAAAAATTTTCAAACAGGTATTTTTTTTCTCCTTCACTGATTTGTGTTGATGAGGCGGCACTGATGGGCACTGATAGGCGGCACTGATGGGCACTGATAGGCAGCCTAAAGGGCACTGATAGGCAGTACTAATGAGGTGGCACGGATAGGCGGCACTGATAGACAGCACTAATTAGGGGTCACGGATAGGCGGCACTGATATGCAGCACTGATAGGGGCACTGATGATGGGTAGTGATAGACGGCACTGACTGGCATCACTTCTGGGCACTGAATGGCGGCACTGACTGGCACAACCCCTGGGCACTGACTGGTGGCACTGACTGGCAGCACTGCTGGGCTGCACTGGTGGGTGGCACTGGTGGGCAGCACTGGTGGGTGGGCACAGGTTTTGGTGGGCACAGGTGGGTGGCACTGGTGGGCACAGGTGGGTGGGCACAGGTGGGTGGCACTGCTGGGCACATGTAGGTGGCACTTCTGGGCACAGGTAGGTGGCACTGCAGAGTGGCACAGGTGGGTGCAGTGCTGGGCACAGGTGGGGGCACTGCTGGGCACAGGTGGGGGCACTGCTGGGAGCAGGTGGGCGGGGCTAGTGGGGCGCACTGCTGGGCGGAACTTGCGGGTGTCACTGCTGGGCACCGATCATCAGGGCACTGATCATCAGTGCCCTGATGATCGGTGCCGATCCCCGCTCTGACAACTGCCGGTTCTCGGCAGTACTTTCCTCACGATCTGACAGCGTGAGGAAAGTGCAGCCGAGAACCGGCACTTGCATTTCCCTGTGATCAGCGTGTCATTGGACACCGCTGATCACGTGGTAAAAGGCCGGTGGGATCGGCCTTTCACACACATCACGTGATCAGCTGTGTCCGTAGGACACAGCGATCACGGAGATCGCCGGGTGCGCGCCCCCTGGGGCGCGCAGGAGAGAGCGCGTTCTGGGAGGACGTCATATGACGTCCACTCAGAACTGGCCGGCCGCGGTGAAGCCGTCATTCGGCTATGCGCGGTCGGCAAGAGGTTAAGAGGCTCCTCTGTCCTGCACTCATTACCTGTATCAATGGCACCTGTTTGAACTTGTTATCAGTATAAAAGACACCTGTCCACAACCTCAAACAGTCACACTCCAAACTCCACTATGGTGAAGACCAAAGAGCTGTCGAAGGACACCAGAAACAAAATTGTAGACCTGCACCAGGCTGGGAAAACTGAATCTGCAATAGGCAAGCAGCTTGGTGTGAACAAATCAACTGTGGGAGCAATAATTAGAAAATGGAAGACATACAAGACCACTGATAATCTCCCTCGATCTGGGGCTCCACGCAACATCTCACCCCGTGGGGTCAAAATGATCACAAGAACGGTGAGCAAAAATCCCAGGACCAGACGGAGGACCTAGTGAATGACCTGCAGAGAGCTGGGACCAACGTAACAAAGGCTACCATCAGTAACACACACTACGCTGCCAGGGACTCAGATCCTGCAGTGCCAGACGTGTCCCCCTGCTTAAGCCAGTACATGTCCGGGCCCATCTGAAGTTTGCTAGAGAGCATTTGGATGATCCAGAAGAGGATTGGGGGAATGTCATATGGTCAGATGAAACAAAATAGAACTGTTTGGTAGAAACACAACTCGTCGTGTTTGGAGGAGAGAGAATGCTGAGTTGCATCCAAAGAACACCATACCTACTGTGAAGCATGGGGGTGGCAACATCATGCTTTGGGGCTGTTTCTCCGCAAAGGGACCAGGACGACTGATCCATGTACAGGACAGAATGAATGGGGCCATGTATCGTGAGATTTTGAGTGCAAACCTCCTTCCATCAGCAAGGGCATTGAAGATGAAACGTGGCTGGGTCTTCCAACATGACAATGATCCCAAACATACCGCCCGGGCAACGAAGGAGTGGCTTCATAAGAAGCATTTCAAGGTCCTGGAGTGGCCTAGCCAGTGTCCAGATCTCAACCCCATAGAAAACCTTTGGAGGGAGTTGAAAGTCCGTGTTGCCCAGCGACAGCCCCAAAACATCACTGCTCTAGAGGAGATCTGCATGGAGGAATGGGCCAACATACCAGCAACAGTGTGTGCCAACCTTGTGAAGACTTACAGGAAACGTTTGACCTCTGTCATTGCCAACAAAGGATATATAACAAAGTATTGAGATGAACTTTTCATATTCACCAAATACTTATTTTCCACCATAATTTGCAAATAAATTCTTTCCAAATCAGCCAATGGGATTGTCTGGGTTTGTTTTCTCATTTTGTCTCTCATAGTTGAGGTCTACCTATGATGCCAATTACAGGCCTCTCTCATCTTTTTAAGTGGGAGAACTTGCACAGTTGGTGGCTGACTAAATACTTTTTTGCCCCACTGTATACTGGGATTATATTTTTGTTATACTAGTAATGGTGGTGATCAGCGACTTACAGTGGGACTGCGGTGGGCATTCTGACACTGGGGGAGGAACTGACTGTCATTGACATCCCAATGACACTAATACAGTGATCAGTGCTAAGCACAGTGGCTAAATGGTTAGCACTTCTGCCTGGCAGTACTAGGGTCATTGGTTTGAAACGCAACCACGACACCACCTGCCTGGAGTTTTCATGTTCTCCCTGTGCCTGTGTGGGTTTCCTCCGGGTACTCTGGTTTCCTCCCACACTCCAAAGACATGCTCGTAAGTGAATTGGCTCCTGTCTAAATTGTCCCTAATATGTATATGTATGAATGTGAGTTAGGGACCTTAGATTGTACACCCCTTGAGGGTCAGGGACTGATGTGAATGTACAATATATATGTAAAGTGCTGTGTAAATTGGTGGCGACATAAATTAAAAAATAAAATAAAAAGCACTGACACTGTACTAATGGCACTGGACAGGGAGGGGTTAATATCTGGGGCAATCAAAGGGTTAACTGTGTGCATTTTACTATGTGTGCTGTGTTGTGTTTTACTAGAGAGGCATACTGCTTTGTATCTCTCTCCCATTCTGTGCGCGCAGCGCGGCGCTTGGCCGTGCACTGTGTCCCTCGGACACAGCGGATCACCGATCACGGAAAGAACTGAAGATGTCGGCTCAGTCATGTGATCAGCTGTGTCCAATCACATGTAAACAGGGAAATGCCGGTTATCGGCATCTCTCCTCTCGAGCTGTCACGCTGACAGCTCGTGAGGAGAGGAGAGCCGGTAATTGACTTTCCGCGGAGGGGACATGTACACTGATCATCAGGGCACTGATGGTCAGTGTGCCCTGATGATCAGTGTAGTCCCAGCATTGCCACCTGTCAGTGTCCATCAGTGCCTTGTGTCAGTGGTCATCAGTGCCTCGTGCCAGTGTCCATCAGTGCCATCAGTGCCACATCAGTGCCACATCAGTGCCTACCAGTGCACATCAGTGCCACATATCAGTGCCTACCAGTGCACATCAATGCCACATATCAGTGCCTACCAGTACACATCAATGCAACATTTCAGTGCCTACCAGTGCACATCAATGCCACATATCAGTGCCCATCTGAGCTGCCTTTCAGTGCCACCCATCAGTGCCAGTCAGTGCCACCTATCAATGCCAATCAATGCCACCTACCAGTGCCGCCTATCAGTGCCATGTATCAGTGCCGCTTTTCACTGCCCATCAGTGCTGCCTGTCAATGCCCATCAGTGCCACCTACCAGTGCCGCCTCATCAGTGACCATCAGTGCCACCTATCAGTGTCCATCAGTGCAGCCTCATTAGCGCACCTCAGTGAAGGAGAAAAATCACTTATTTACAAAATTTTATAACAAAAACTAAGAAAAAACTTTTTTTTTTCAAAATTTTCAGTGATTTTTGGTTTGTTTAAGAAAAAATAAAAAATCCAGAGGTGATTAAATACCACCAAAAGAAAGCTCTGTCTGTCACAAAAAATGATAAAAATTTCATATGGGTACAGTGTTGCATGACCGCGCAATTGTCATTCAAAGTGTGACAGCGCTGAAAGCTGGAAATTGGCCTGGACAGGAAGGGGGTACAAATGCCCTGTAGGAAAGGGGATAATACAATTCGGTACTGGGACTAACGGTTTTATCACCCGGTGCTATGAGATGATCCCTTTTCACATACCTGGATGGTAATCCATGTAAAGCTAAACAAAGTTGGGAGCGGGATGTCAGTGCCTTAGAGCAGTGGTTCTCAACCTTCCTAATGCCGCGACCCTTTAATACAGTTCCTCATGTTGTGGTGACCCCCAACCATAAAATTATTTACCCAGTAATTATAATTCATGAAGTGTCATTTTACCTCCAATACTGCTGCTTTCAACACAGTAGCTGCTTTCAACAGTAGCTGCTTTCAACACAGTAGCTGCTTTCAACACAGTAGCTGCTTTCAACACAGTAGCTGCTTTCAACACAGCAGCTGCTTTCAACACAGTAGCTGTTTTCAACACAGCAGCTGCTTTCAACACAGCAGCTGCTTTCTACACAGTAGCTGCTCTTTACACATCGGAAATATGTGTTTTCTGATGGTCTTAGGGGACCCCTGTGAAAGGGTCGTTCGACCCCCAAAGGGGTCACGACCCACAGGTTGAGAACCACTGCCTTAGAGAATGAACAGTGGGAGAGCGCACTTAAACTGGTACTTCTTAGCTCTTGGAATACCTCAGTCTTTCACAGCTCTACATTGCACTCCGAGCCCACTACCCACCCCAGAAGCTGTATCACATGGGCGTGTTGCAGACCCCGACATGTAGGAGGTGTAGTAGGGATCGGGGAGATCTCATACATCTATTGTAGTGCTGCCCTAAATCACACATGTATTGGACAGAGGTTATGGCCACCACCAATATGGTCTTTCAAACTAATATTCCACTATACCCTAAGGCTGCATTCGCACCTGAGCGTCGCGGTTTTGAGCAAATTGTTTGGCGTTTTGCACAATTTTGTACAGCGTTTTTTTATCTTTGCCGGTTTTTTAATAGCCAATAAGGAAATTAATCATCTATTTTATCATTTGTTGCTAGGTTTTTCAGCTTTTATTTATTTTTTTTATTATTATTCATGTTTTATAATTATTTTTTTCTTTTTGTTAGGGTAAGGGGTTAGAGTTAAGGTTAGGTGTTAAGGCTAGGATTAGGGGTTTATGTTTTATTTATTATCTTCTTATTATTTATGTATTTTTTAGGGTGTTTATTATTATTAACAATCACAATAATAATAATAATTATTGTTATTTATTTTCTGTTAGGGAGTTTATTTTATTTTATTAATATTATATATTTTTTTAGAGTTAGGGGGTTAAAGGTTAATTTATTATTTATAACTATTTGTATTTGTGTATTTATTTTATTGATTTAACATTTATTTATTAATTTATTATTACTTTTTTAAATTCATTTTCATTTGAGCAGAAAAATGCTCCAAATACGTGCAAAAACAAGCGAATTGCGCATTTACATCCATTCCTATGGAATTAAAAATGCTCGAAAATTTGAGCAACAAAAAAGCTCCAGAACTTGTTTGAGCTTCAGGTGTTTGGCTACAGGCGACTTGGAAGTAACAAAAAAAAAAGCTCCAGAACTTGTTTGAGCTTCAGGCGTTTGGCTACGGGCGACTTGGGAGAGGAGATGTGAACCGTCTCCACTGAGAAGAATTGATTTTTTTTCTCCTCAAGCATTTTGGAGCTTCGAGCTTTGAGCTACAAATCACTCAAGTGTGAAAGGCTCCTAAATACTGCATTACTTTTTTACATACATTTTTTCATCTGACAGAAAAATGCTCCAAATACCCACAAAAACGAACGAATTGCGCACTTCCATCCATTCCTATAGAATTAAAAAATGCTCAAAAATTTGAGCAGCGACTTGGAAGTGAAAAAAAAGCTCCAGAACTTGTTTGAGCTTCAGGCGTTTGGCTACGGGCGACTTGGAAGTGACAAAAAAAGCTCCAGAACTTGTTTGAGCTTCAGACGTTTGGCTACGGGCGACTTGGGAGTGACAAAAAAAGCTCCAGAACTTGTTTGAGCTTCAGGCGTTTGGCTGCGGGCAACTTGGAAGTGACAAAAAAAGCTCCAGAACTTGTTTGAGCTTCAGGCGTTTGGCTACGGGCGACTTGGAAGTGACAAAAAAAGCTCCAGAACTTGTTTGAGCTTCAGGCGTTTGGCTACGGGCAACTTGGAAGTGACAAAAAAAAAGCTCCAGAACTTGTTTGAGCTTCAGGCGTTTAGCTACGGGCGACTTGGAAGTGACAAAAAAAAAGCTCCAGAACTTGTTTGAGCTTCAGGCGTTTAGCTTTACGGGCGACTTGGGAGTGACAAAAAAAAAGCTCTCCAAATACCCACAAAAACGAACGAATTGCGCACTTCCATCCATTCCTATGAATTAAAAATGCTTCAAAATTGAGACAAAAAATAGAGCTCCATTGTTTGGCTTCAGACTTCTTTGAGCTTCAGACGTTTGGCTACGGGCGACTTGGAAGTGACAAAAAAAGCTCCAGAACTTGTTTGAGCTTCAGACGTTTGGCTACGGGCGACTTGGGAGTGACAAAAAAAGCTCCAGAACTTGTTTGAGCTTCAGGCGTTTGGCTGCGGGCGACTTGGAAGTGACAAAAAAAAAGCTCCAGAACTTGTTTGAGCTTCAGGCGTTTGCCTACGGGCGACTTGGAAGTGACAAAAAAAGCTCCAGAACTTGTTTGAGCTTCAGGCGTTTGGCTACGGGCGACTTGGAAGTGAAAAAAAAAAAAGCTCCAGAACTCCAGAACTTGTTTTTCTTTGAGCTTCAGGCGTTTGGCTACGGGCGACATGGAAGTGACAAAAAAAGCTCCAGAACTTGTTTGAGCTTCAGACGTTTGGCTTACGGGCGACTTACGGGGGAGTGACAAAAAAAAAAAAAAAGCTCCAGAACTTGTTTGAGCTTCAGGCGTTTAGCTACGGGCGACTTGGGAGTGACAGTGAAAAAAAAAAGCTCCAGAACTTCTTTGCGCTTCAGGCGTTTGGCTACGGGCGACTTGGAAGTGACAAAAAAAAGCTCCAGAACTTGTTTGAGCTTCAGGCGTTTGGCTACGGGCGACTTGGGAGTGACAAAAAAAAAGCTCCAGAACTTGTTTGAGCTTCAGGCGTTTGGCTACGGGCGACTTGGGAGTGACAAAAAAAAGCTCCAGAACTTGTTTGAGCTTCAGGCGTTTGGCTACGGGAGACGTTTTGGGAGTGACAAAAAAAAGCTCCAGAACTTGTTTGAGCTTCAGGCGTTTGGCTACGGGCGACTTGGAAGTGGAGATGTGAACCGTTTCCATTGAGGATTTTTTTTTTCTCCTCAAACATTTTTGAGCTTCGAGCTTTGAGCTACAAATCACTCAGGTGTGAAAGGCGCCTAAATACTGCATTTGGGGATCCTGGATGCTTATGATTTGACAGACTTGATAAGGCAGCGATTGGTAGAGCAAAGGGGAGCAGATTCCGACTCCATAGGAAGTGACCAACCGTATGGTATACACCCTTCGATTAGAACGCATTATTTTCCAACATAGAGGGGGTCCAGAAAAGTTTGAAAGATTTGGGGAAGTTGGCTGGTGGTACCACTTGACCTTGTCATGGATAGAATGTTGTAACTTGCTTACTTTATCATTTCGTGGGTTGAATTTCTGTTTTTTCCCTACCGCACTCTCAGCATCTGTCCATTTGCCCTTGGCAGGCTTGATAGCCTGGTGTACTCAACATTTCAATTTTGACCTATTTTGCTGATATATCTGCATGTGCTATAAATCTCAGAGACTTTTTTTGGAACTGTATGCCTGTTTTTGACAGCGTTTGTTAACGTGATATTCTATTGCTCAAAAAACATCTTCCTGATTTAGGTTAGATGGCCTTAGTGGTAACTGGATGTAATTGGATGAGAATGCATATAGGCCAACATAAAGCCTATGTTCACATGCACCGGAAAAACGGACAGGGATGGGCCATGTAAAAGGGACTTAACTGACATCATATATGGGCAGCACAGTGGCTAAATTGCTATGACCAATCACATGACAAGTAAACAACACTGTCATGGATGGCTTTCATTCTTGAAACTTACAATTGCGATTTCTGTGATCAGTCACAGTGATCCCACGGTACAGGGCCATTTACAGCAACCCTGTACCATGTGATAGCTGTAGCCAATCACAATAGCAAACATGAGTCACGAATGGGCAGCACAGTGGCTAAATGGTTAGCACTTCCACCTGGCAGTGCTAGGGTCATTGGTTCAAATCCCAACCACAGCGCCACCTGCCTGGAGTTTGCATGTTCTCCCTGTGCCTGCATGGGTTTCCTCCGGGTACTCCGGTTTCCTCCCACACTCCAAAGACATACTGGTTGGTTAATTGGCTCCTGTCTAAATTGTCCCTAGTATGTGTATGTATGAATGTGAGTTAAGGACCTTAGATTGTACACCCCTTGAGGGTTAGGGACTGATGTGAATGTACAATATATATGTAAAGCACTGCGTAAATTGATGGCGCTATATAAGTACCTGAAATAAAT